CGCGGTGTACAACTCAAATTTCACATGTAAAAACGTTTAAACTGCATTCCATGTTAAATTTTTTCAACTGAACTGTACGGAAATTAACGCATTAGAGGATAAAATGAGTAGGGAACAAGAAGGTAGCAATATTGCGATTTCGTATAACTCTTTCTGTTCGGAAGCAAACTGATCGTCTACACTAGTTTAAAAAAAATATTGTTTACTTTTTCTCAGTAAAGAAGAATTCCAGAGTCGACCACAACGAAACTCTTGATATATTGAGAAAGGAGGCGCAATAAAATGAAAGCTTCGAAAACGACTCAGTCCCGATACTTGACATGAAGAATACTTTCAATCAAAAATCCATTTGGTATGGTGTTTGCACTGGAAGGATATCCTGGCAGTCAAATTTAATCAATCCATCAACCCTGTCCTTACGAAGAAATCGTGTAGCTTCACTGACTTCACAAAGAGAGATCGCTCCGTATTATTTGGTTCGGGGTGAATACAGGTTTATACATTAAAAATTATTCAAAGACCGAATGACATCTGCGAAGTGTTGGCGACCTGGGGCATGTTTTAATGAGATGTTTCCAGCACAAGTAAGAAGTAGGAAAATGTTTGGAAGTTGTATGAACCATAGTCTATTGACATTACAGAATATTATTACACTAAAAAACAGCAAACAAAATGTAGAGAAAAATACTAAGTTAGTTTGTAAATATAATATAAAATTTAGAATTTTACATTACACATAGAAAACATTTAGTCATAATTTATCCTTTCGGCTCTATACAATACTTATTGTACCAATGACGAATGTTAAATAAAAAATATACTCTCTTGGAGAAAATTTTACATTTCACATTTAAAAATTAAATTACAAAATTTTGTATTTTAGATTTAATTGGAACATGTAACATATTGTTGATACACTTACAAGAATTAAATTTAAATAGAAAAAAACAAACAGAAAAACAAGCCGACCTTAATCATATGGTGATAGATTAGAAAAAGTGCAGAAAATTCAATCTCATATTATTTAATTTTTTTTTAAACATAACTCAACTTATAACTTCTTAAACAATGTGATTTTTCATATTCTTTTAACATTTATCCCACTCAATAGGTACCTGCGTATTATTATCTTTATTTATATTTTCAAAAATCGGCTGGTAATAACCTAGAAATACATGCACAACAAAGACAGGCAAAATATAAAAAAGATTACTTAAATTATCAAAAATATTTTTTTCCGGCTCTTAGGGCCTCTGTCAAGAAAGTTTAAACAATACCTTGTGGCTCCCTACAGGGAGCGTGTCGGCATGCGATCCTATCTGAAGAAGGTACTCGAGCACTGCAGCGAGTTTCAGGGTGCCCTGTTCCGCTTTTTAGGGGAAATTGGGATTTTTTGTTGTATATAGTATGTCTCATGTGTTGTGTGTCTATATGTTTTGTCTGAGTTCATGTATTTATTAGCGTGAATGGCGAGGGGTGAGGGTGAAATATAACATCATCATCGCCCCTCGAACGATGAAAGGGGTGAGTATGTGTTCGGGGTCGATGGCGGAATATTTATAAAAGTACTCCATCGACCCCAATCTAGTTTAGTTTGAGCATAGGTCGGTGGAGTACTTGATATTCCTCCACCGACCAAATGGAATGAGTGTATTGTATGGATGTATTTATGTGTATGAATGTTTTTATCTGTATGAATGTAGTGTTTGTAAATAGAAGTGTTAATATAATATTGACTTAGCTTGGGGCTGAAATGACCTAGATGTCGGAAGCCCCAGTAAAAAAAACCAAAAAAAAACCGTGTGTCTTATATTTTACCTATTATCACCAAATTCACCAGTTTCATTAAAATCAGCAACCACGTCCGTAGTCTTTCCTGGCTAGTAGAACCGAGGATGGTTTTAAGACCAGCAAATTGCATTGTTCATCGCCGGCCATCTGAGAACAAGCCCTACCATTCACGCTAATACATTACATCCACATCCCAGGTAACTCGATTTGCTAGGGGTTATTGAGAAAGAAGCTTTACAATTCACGCTAATAAATTATATTCACACACCTGACTTCATTCAAACTGCCCCAAATTACACAACTTGTTCGGAGTTAATGATAAAGAAGCCCCACCATTCACGCTAATACATTACATCTACACCCCAGATAACTCGATTTGCTTACCCCCTTAATTTGTACTACCCCAGTTTACTGGATTTGCTCGGAGTTTATGATAAAGTAGCTCCAACATTCACGTTAAAAAATTACATTCCATACTCACCTACTCCATTCACTGCTCCAGTACCTTTCCTTGCACACTAAAATATTATATTCACTCTGTGTATTACATTGATACAAGTTAGAACGCTCTCTGATTCACAGCTTAGTAATTTTTCGCTTTTTTCGCTTAATTTAATACAACTTGCTGTTAAAGAATATAAACTAAACAAGCCAGTTAAAATTTCAGAAAGAGCATAATTAACAACGCACATCCAGTACTTTTTTCTACCTTTTCTACCATAGTTTTTCACACAAGCCTCTGAAAGTTTGCAAATACTCGAGGATTTAGAGCGGATATTATTTAACCACCGTTATACAGAAAAGGATGAAAATTGAAAAATCAAGCAACAAATTCTCCCTCAGCGTTTTCCAACCAGTCTTTCGTTATAAGAAGTTAGCAATAAAGGGTGGCAAACCGTACCGGTCCTGCTGGTACAAGCTTTCTTAGAAGATGCATGATTAATTTCCACGCCCCGCCGAGAGTAATCAACCTCGGGGCTAGGATTAAATTCGGGAAGGGCTGTAGTATTTAAATATATATCTCGTGAGAGTTGTGAACCCACCTCTGTTTTCTTACTGCCTCCTTTGTATTCAAGCCACACGGCCTAGGGTGATAAATTTCGCCTACCTTTTTCCCTAGTGCAGCGTATTCATATTTTAAGTTTTAAAACGATTTGGGTTTTCCATTTCAATATTTATCGCAAGGATTCATGAATTTATTCAGGTCGAAACGCAATACAATCCACTGTCATGATGCACATGTCTATTCCTTTATACATACTGATTTGGACGTAAAAAGAAAAACATACTTTGGAGATAGTTTGATAATAAATAAAAATAAAGTCTTTTTCTATACAGGTTTTTTACGATTACTCGCCTGTAAAGATCTAGTTTTTTGATAGAAATAAATTAAATTTCAATACAATTTGGAAATATTCATATTAATAATTTAATATTATTTTTGTTATATCTATGGTTTACTTTAATCCCATAATTCACATAATATAAATGTAAGTTATAAACCAATCTATCTTTGAATTTTGATGAAAAAGACAAGCAACATAATTTCTTTAGATTAAAAATTGTATACATTAAAATAATATCATTTGCAAAATTAGCAAGTTGCGATTTTATCTATTAGAGTTTGACAAAAATGTTAGAACTCAAAAAGTTATTTTTCGACTAACAACTTTTATTACTTGAAAATAATTCTCCCAGCTTAAAAAAAATATATTTCTCAGGGGAGTATATTGGGGCCTCTTCTTTAGAACTTTGTCATAAACGATTTGACGTTAAATGCCATCAGAGGGTTTCTTGTCACATTTTACTGATGACCCAGCACCACAACACCAACGAACAAAGTTAACTATTTAATTTCAACTATTTAATTTTTAATTTATCTCTTTCTTTCTCTAGCTTTTTTTTTCTCTCTCTCTCTCTCTCTCTTTCCTCCTCACTCTATCTCTCTCACTTTGTCCAAGCTTTTGGACTCTCACTTTTTTCACTACCTTCTTATAGTCATTCTGCCTGTTTTATCCTCTTTAGCTTTTTGCTCTCTCTCACTCTCTCTCTCTCCCTCTCTCTCTCTATTTCTATTTCTACCTTGATTTTTATTTGTATCTCTATTTTTATCATTTAGTCAAGACTATTTTTTATTCAGTTTCTTATCTGATGACACAACACCAACTTACAAAGTAAACTATTTACGTAAGGCGTTCTGTCTCTCTGTACTCATACCCGTACGCTTTAAACTAAACGATTTCTCTAATTTCCAATTGTTTTAAGTAAACATAACATTGGATATTAGACAAGTAATTTTAATTTTAACTGTAACGGTAAAGATTCAACGAAAAGTCTCTCTCTTTACATATCACTCTCTCACTGCTTTTTTTTCTCTCTCTGTCATTTTTTCTTTTTCCTCTGTTTGTCTTCTCTCTCGCTCTCTCTCTCCTTCTGTAGACCATTTGTTTTACTATCTCCATATAGACTGTCTTATCCTCTTTAGCCTTTTATCTGTCTCTCTCTTTCTCGCTCTCTCTCTCTCTCTCTCTCTCTTCCACTCTTGATTTTTATTTGTATCCTTATTTTTCATCTTACTTTTTTTTACCATTTTTAATTTTAAATGTTTTTTACTTCTACGGTTGTGTCACTCTCTCTGGCATTTATTATTTTCGTTCCCTCTCACTCTCTCTCTCTCTCTCTCTCTCTCTCTCTCTCTCTCTCTCTCTCTTCTCTCTCTGTCGACCATTTTTTTCCTATCTCCATATAGTCAGTCTGTCTGATCCTCTTTAGCCTTTTATCTTTCTCTCTCTTTCTCGCGCTCTCTCTCTCTCTCTCTCTCTCTCTCTCTCTCTCTCTCTATCTATCTATCTATCTCTCTCCCTTTCTCCCTATTCCACTCTTGATTTTTATTTGTATCCCCATTTTTCATCTTACTCTTTTTACCATTTTTTAGTTTTGAATGTTTTTTACTTCTACGGTTGTGTCACTCTCTGTGGCATTTATTATTTTCGTTCTCTCTCTCACTCTCCCTCTCTCTAACTCTCTCTTTCTTTCACTATCTCTTTCTTTCTTCCCGTCGTCTCTCTCTCACTCTCCCTCGATATGTCTGTCTGCTTGCACTCATCAATTCCCAATATATATATACACAAAAATTATCTTTGTCTTTGTCATGTGTGATGGATTTTTCTTAAAAATAAAAAATTATATTTAGAAACTGAAATACCAACCGTTGCTCCTCACAGGTGAGTTCTGACTCGAAACTAATCAGGCAGGTTTTCATAACGTTGTACCCGAATGTGACTAGGGTCTCCTCGTCGCAATTTTCCCCTCCGACTGAAAAAGAGAGAAAACGTTTTTAATAAAGCACAGGAGGCCTTCTCGGCAACTAGATTAGGCCGAGAGTCCGTTGAGGCGAACGGTTAATACGAATTCTATCGCGAAACGTTCGCCCAGGACGAGATTGGCAGAGAATTTCCCCCTTTTATACCCGAATTCTCATATAACGGCCGTGGTACGAATGGAAACGGGCTCCCGGATTGAATGCCAAACAGCCATTGACTGGGGGCCGTGGTGGAAGAAAAAAAAGGGGTTAGTGGAAAATATTGTTTAGCCGGATTGCCTCAATAAAAATCCCCATTGGTATTCCTGGTGTACGTGGTGATATATTGGACAAATACATAAACATAAAAAGAAACAATTATTTTAACAATTTCGCCTTATAAAGCCCTCAATATTTGACCAGTTTCTATCCACCATAAAAAATACAAAACATACTAAAAAAATCTTGATTTTGTTTTAATGATATGATGATTATTTAGTTGTTATTTGCGCAGGATGAGAGGTTTATCGTTCAGTAGTGGATAAATCATAGTCAGTAACAACTCCCAATATTAAATATTTTGCAGACCAAAGAATCTCTTCGTTTTTAAGGTGTCAGAATACGACATTAATACATCATCAAATATTATTTTCAAAAATATAGTACAATACTTTATAACTCCTAAATTTTGTGTTTTTTTATATAATTGTTTAATTGAAAGAAAATGATTCACACGAATTTTAATTAATATAAAACAATAAAATTTTATCGTTTGACGTTATTACATACATGCGGAGGGAAGCAAGCAACCACTGTTGCTCTCCCAGGTCGTTAGTGGCGTACATTTTATAACTCTTTGAAAGGTTTATAGTGTTTTTTTTTTTTTTTGTAACGTTGTAAGTCTAACATTTTATTGAAAAATGGCCATGCAGATTAAATTTGTCAAACGGTACCAAGTTAGTTATTAAAAAATCGTGCGATTTCTCCGTGTTGACTATGTGGTCATGAATGTCGTTGGGGGTGTGGCCCACCGCCATAATAAATAATTAAAATCCGTGATAATATTTCAGTCGTACATACAAGAAAAATACTCCGTCAAGTGAGGTCATGTTTAAAGCAAAAATCGTGTACCAGAATTCGTGACAAGCCTCAAATAAAAAACACAAATATAACTGGATTTGTTTACTTGCAGAGCACAAATATGACCGAAGTACTTTATACCCTTTGCCCCTCGGCACGGGCTGAATGGTTTATAAATTAGATTTATGTCTTTTTTTTTGTTTTATGTATATTCGTGCGTGCAAGAAAAACAATCGCTGACAATCGTACAATTTTCGTCGTCAATCAACATTTATTGATATAATCGACCCTACAATATTTTAATAATAGCTGCAAATGGATGACTTTTGACAGTATTTTAGAGAAAGAGAGAGAGAGAGAGAGAGAGAGAGAGAGAGAGAGAGAGAGAGAGAGAGAGGTAGAGGAGAGGAGAGGAGAGAGAGAGGGGGAGGGAGAGAGAGAAAGGTAGAGGAGAGGAGAAGAGAGGAGAGAGAGAGGGGGAGGGAGAGAGAGAAAGAAAAAGAGAGAGAGAGAGAATAGAAGGGAGGTACAGAGAGAGGGAGAGAGAGAGAGAGAATAGGAAGGAAGAAAGGGATAATAAAAATAAATGAAAATGTAGATTATGTACTATACAAAATACGAAGCTTCAATAACGGAAAACGGAAAAGAGTGAGTAAGAGAAGAAANTATATATATAATTATGCAGGGTGGGCCACCGAGACCCGAGGTGTTAAATGCCTGGGTAGACTCATACCCGATCCCTAAAAGGTCCGGGACTTGGTCGGCTCATGTGTCCTGCATAAATATCTTGGATCTGTTCACTAACCCCAAGATTTTGGACCATTTTATCTCGGGGAGTGATTTGGTGATGTCCTCTCCTTCAAAGATTTCAAATCTAGACCTATCATACCTATCACTCTCTGCAAGGTAGTGCCTTGCCGTTTCTTCTTTTATTTCGCAAAAACGGCAAAAAGGCTCTGGTAGAATACCCATTACGGAGAGGTGTCTTCTCAGTGGGCAGTGGCCCGTCAGGATACTATCAGACTGCTAATTCCCTGCCTTGAGATAGAGAATAGCCATTTCGATTCTGTTGATTTGATCACCTTAACAAACTCTTTCGATTGCCTGTGTCCGGGGGATAAATTCCACTCCCTAAGGAATTGTTTCATGCCCCAGTTATTAATACTCTCTTTCGCTGTGCTCATAGAGTGAGGTAATACCGGTTGTGGCCCGACAAACGCAATATTAGAACCTTCTCTGGCTAGGCCATTCACTTTTTCATTGCCATGGTATCCTTTATGTGCTGGTATCCAAATAAACGTTACCTTGTTTCCAAATCTGGAAAACATCCTTTTGATAAGATCTACAGTTTCCTCCACCAGTCGTGAGGTTCACCAATCTTTTTGTAATGACCTAAGACTAGCCTGACAGTCAGAAAAAATTCTAATATCTTTTCCCTTAATTTTATTTTCCATAAGTGTTCTGCAACACACATTAATGGCTCAGATTCCCGCCTGAAAAACGGAGGTATTGTTACCAAGAGGGGAGGAGATGCTGATTCCTAATTTTGATATGTAGATTCCTGCACCACGCCCTCTACCTTTGATAAGTGATCCATCTGTGTAGCAGTCTATGTTAAGATGGTCATCATCCAAACTATAATTATAATTACAAGGGGTAATTACCTGAAAGTGCTTTTTCCATGAAGGGGTTTTATCTTATAGACTGTTAGTAGAAATTAGTACAAGAAAGAATTTCTTCGCCTTTCTTGTTGAAAGATTAATAAATCTATTAGCCTGCCTCTTACTTGGTGCTTTTCTGTCCAATCTTGAATTTTTCTATCTCAAACCATTTTTCCAGCTCCAACTCACACTTTAAATTCACCTAGTTGTAGTTGCGGACATACCTCTCCAGACCTGCTCATTTTTGGCTAGTTGGTAAGCTTGTTTATTTCCTTATAAATATCCATATCCCGAAATCCACCTCCATGTTGAATATTATTATTACAATTCTCCTGGATGAGATCTTGCCCCTTATTCGGCTAATTGATTAGCCTCTTGTTTTCCTATAAACCTTTATGTCCTGGAAAAATAAGACAACTTTTGAGAGTTTTGCTACAGTCATTCATAGACAACGATTCTGGTCCCATGAGTGAGAGCGCTGACCTTTCTTTGAGTAGTTGCTCATCCTGTTCGTTTTCTTTTATATTTCCATGTCCTGAAATCCGCCGCTAAGTAGCTTTGTTGAATTTTCCTAAAGCCATTAAGGTATTTAAATATTCTCACGCTATGGTTCCTCTCCTTGGTTGTAAGTGGTGCTGCCTCTTCGGCTCGTTGGACACGCTCATGGTTTCGATCTAGTTTTCTTACGGCCATTAGGCTACTAGACAAGTACGGAGCTAAAATAATTCGCATGCCTTTATACCTGTCTGACCGGTGGAAAATCTATAAATCCGTGCACCTTTTAGTTTCTTCTTTTTCATCTTCTATGCATTAGGACGACCTCATTCCTTGTACGATAGTTGTAGCCAGTCCAAGGTTTTTTTCCACTTTTCGACCCATTTATTCCTACACCTACTTCCTGTTCTATCTTTGATCCATCAGTGTGCCTTATTATGTATTTAAAAATTTCTCTTCTCATTATGTTATACGGAGAGACGCGAGGCAGACTTAAAACTTACTAAAATGATTCAAAATTAACTACGATTGGTCCATCTCTCCTTAATATTGGCCTATGATCGACTATAATAAATTTCCAAATAGTTACTTTTACATTAGTGATTGCAAATAATTCTAAAAATATTGGTTTTTGTTTATACGTATCTGGAAAATATATTGAGACTCGCGGTTTTTACATGAATAAAAATTGAAATATAAAAAAAGACAAACAGAACAGCCAATTATTAAATAGATGAAAATATAAGTAAGTTTTAGGTTTTAAAATACAATAATACAAATTGGCATTGTATCTAAGAGCCAGGGGCTTAAAAAAGTCAAAGAAAGATGTTAGTTTTTTTTTTCTCTTACCAAATTATAAAAGTCAAGTCCATTCTTGTCTCTTAAATAGCGCTTAAGTTGTTTGTCAAGTAGTGCATATAATAATTATAATTGATAAAACAAGGCAATGGTTGCTGAGATTTAATGAGCCACTGTTTATATAAGTTTTACATAACTCGTTTCAACAATTCAGGAACGGTTAGGGCTATTAAAAGTGTATGGGAACAATTACCGCTAGAAAAGAGGGCTTAACGGGCAATTAACCTCCCTAATAATGTCAACGCAGCTCGTCGAAATATGCCAGAAGGGGGATGAACAACCTTTACAAAAAGAAAAGACTAAATGCGAACAAATTAAATTTTTAGCTTTCTCAATAAATACCGTGAAAAAGTTACCCGAGTACATTTTTTTATTTGACCTAATTTAAAGGGTTGGGCTTAATGGCCAGCAATTAAATTTTGTGGAATATTTTTCCGTTGGCAAATGGGCAGAGAACTGTTAACGAAATTGAAATTCGTTTAGTTCGAACCGAGTAGAAAAGCTCTTTTCGTACCGAAGAATGGTATTTACCTTTCTAATAAAACAGCCGGTTTAACTTGTACATTCGAATGGCAAGTAATGGCTCGACTAGAATCCCTTGTTTGAGCTGGTGGGAAAGCGCTGTAGGCTAAATAACATTGTCCAAATATCTTTCAACAGACGTAAACTCCGGAGTACGTGTTTCAACAGATGACGTTAAGCATTTGTCGAATCTTTTCATCAAAATATAACAACTCGGTTTTAGCGTAGAATATATTATTTAAAAAATATTTATACACTGTTATATATGACAATGAGGTCAGTATTAATCAACAATACGAACCGGTATTATTGACAATGCAATCTCATTTTTCAGCGAATTGCAATTTATTCGTTACGGTTTTTGATTAAACATTTCTGAAAATGCTTTATATTGATTT